GGGGGGGTGTCCCTACTCAGGTTGTGCGGGCTCTGTTTGTCCCTAAACAATCTGGGGATCTCTTGGGGTGGGTTCTGTGGGCCGGGGGGTGCCCGTGCCCGGTCCCACCCTGATGCCCCTTTTTTCCACCCCCTCAGCCGGCTGCGTGCCCGGGTGCGTGTGCTGGTGGACGGCAGCCTGCTGGTGAGGAGGAGCCTCCCCGAGGACTCGGGCAGATACACCTGCACCCCCAGCAACGGCCTCCGGCAGCCCCCCTCGGCGTCAGCCTTCCTCACCGTGCTCCGTGAGACCCCCGGGGCGGCAGGGAGGGAGAGAGGGAAAAAAAGGAACCAAATGAGACCCAAAAAGGGATGAAATGTGACCCAAAAGGGCCCAAATGTGATGAGAAAGGCCCAAATGTGACCCCAAAGGGCCCAAATGTGACTGAAAAGGTCTGAAATGTGACCCAAAAGGGCCCAAATGTGACTGAAAAGGTCCCAAATGTGACTGAAAAGGTCCAAAATGTGACCCCAAAAGGCCCAAATGTGACTGAAAAGGTCCAAAATGTGATTAGAAAAAGGCACTAAATGTGACCGAAAAGGTCCAAAATGTGACCCAAAAGGACCCAAACGTGACCGAAAAGGTCCAAAATGTGATCCAAAAGGACCCAAATGTGACTGAAAAGGTCCAAAATGTGACCCAAAAGGGCCCAAATGTGATCCAAAAGGTCCAAAATGTGACCCCAAAGGCCCAAATGTGACCGAGAAGGTCCAAAATGTGACCCAAAAGGCCCAAATGTGACCCAAAAGGGCCCAAATGTGACCGAAAAGGGCCCAAATGTGACCCAAAAGGCCCAAATGTGACCCAAAGGGCCCAAATGTGACCCAAAAGGTCCAAAATGTGACGAGAAAGGCACTAAATATGATGAAATAGCCCCCAAATGTGACCCAAAAGGTCCAAAATGTGACTGAAAAAGGCACCAAATGTGACTAAAAAGGCACAAAATATGTCGGAAAAAACACCAAATGTGACCCAAAAGGCCCAAAATGGCACCAAATATGATGAAACAGCCCCAAAACGTGCCTGAAAAAAGCCCCCAAATGTGCTAAAAATGCCACCAAACGGTTTTTAGGGTGCAGCTTCACCTGCCATTGGTTTTTAGGGGGGTTTTTTAGGGTGCAGTTTCACCTACCATTGCCATCCCTATGGTTTTTAGGGGGGTTTTAGGGGTTTTTAGGGGTTTTTAGGGGAGTTTAGGGGTTTTTAGGGGGGTTTTAGGGGTTTTTAGGGGAGGTTTAGGGGTTTTTAGGGGGTTTTAGGGTGCAGCTTCCCCTCCATCGCCCGCTGTCCCCGCAGACCCCGCGCAGGTGACCGCGATGCTGCCGGAGACCCCCCTGCCCAAGGGCATGAGGGGGGTGATCCCCTGCCCCTCCCGCGCCAACCCCCCCCTGCTGTCCGTCAGCTGGACCCGGGATGGGCAACCCCTGCAGCTGGACAAGGTACAGACCCCAAAATACCTCAAAAATACCCCAAAACCACCCCAAAACCAGCCAAAAATACC